TCATCCTTTATTGCATTGTACAATAATGAAAGTATAGGCACGTTAGCCAAGATATTCAAAAGGACAGTCACAAATGTTGGATATAGTGCTTCAACTTATAATGCACGCAATAGTGACAGCTCCGAGTGGTTCTGTTGTTGAAGTAAACCAGTAGATTTTGAGTTTTAAAGGGATATATGAGAAGAAAAGTTGTAGCCTAACCATCCGCGATGCAGGCGACAAAAATGGAAGGGCTACTTTTGGTTCGATTCGATGGGCTGATGCTGAAGGCAGATACTTTGTGAAGAGTCCAGTTGTCGTGTCCCCAACAGTCAATGCTTCAGCTTGACGAGCATACTCTGATTTCAAGAAACTTCTTTTTCCCTGTCAAGTTCCTATATGGAACACAGAATCCTTCGATTCTATGAACCTAATTAAGTAAGTCTGAATACCATCTTCAAATCCATTGAATAAGTATGAGAATGGTTTGGCTTTTTTCTGTTCCCCTCAAAAAGTTTCTGGATGCCTAATTTCTTAAAAAAGTTGTTTCAATTCACATCTGATTTCTCCCAACAAGTTTCTGGGTTCTGACCTTGCTCATTCCAACCCATAGTGATACAAAACAAAGTGGCTTTAAGACAACAAACTCTGAAACCAGTATATATACATTTTACCTCAGGCGCCTTCATCCTTGCACATCACATTCATTATTAATTCTTCTTTTCAAGAGTTCTATTGAACTCGTTGAATCAATGCTGAAACTGACCAATCACCTGATCCTCATCCCTAATATGACACTCAGTTTGACAACTAAGAAGACTTTTTTCCAAAGTACATTAAATATCTACCAAATAATTACAATTTACAATGATTCCTTTGTACTGACATGTCAAATAGTCAAAGACAAATTATTCAGATTGAATGATTCACCTTACATAGCACAATGAACATTGACAATACGGCATAAATTAGTGGAAGCTAGTTTCATCAACTCCAAAAACCAATGGATTCACTTTTCTTTATTTTTTTTTGACCTTTTTCCTTGAAAGTTTTTTTTTCGGAGACAATAAACCTATTCTATCCTACGTTAAGGGAGAGGGGACGGATCTAAGGAGGTTCAGGGGTAACTCGGAGGGGACTAAACCACCACTGGACCAGATGGGTGCACAACACACCCACTTGAATTTTTTAGAAACAAACCACTTAAATGTAGCATTTTTTTAGAAATCACCACTTAGATGTCCCATCCCACCCACTTAGGTGGGTGATTTTTTCCTTGGAAGTTAGAAAACCTGAAGTTTGAGAAATATTCGGGGCAAACGCTGGTTTCCACCTTTAAGTTGTTCAATGATTATTGATTAGCGGTTACCTATTAGATTGATCCATGCAAAAGGACAAGAAAGAGAAAATCTGTGAACAGAAGTCTGTCAAATTCATATTAGGCCTGTTTGGAAGGTAAGTTTTTTGGGTGTATGTATAAAACTTTACTGTAAATCACTGTAGAAGTTGTAGAAAAACTTTTGTAAGAAAAATTTTTGGGTGTTTGTAAGATGAAATTTTTTTCCTTTTCTTTTTTCTTTTTTTTCTTTCTTTTTTCTTTTCCTTCCTCCCTTTCTTCCCCTTCTCCCACTCCCTTCCCTCCCCTGTTCCCTCTCCCAAGACTTCCATGGCAAAGACTTCCAGGTGATTTTTTTTTTTTTGCTTTTTTTCTATTCCCTTCTCCCTCCCCCGCCACCCCTCCCTCTTTCCCTCTCTTTCCCTCCCCAGCCCTCTCCCTCCCTCGCCGTCCCTCCCTCCTCTCCCCTCTCCTTCCTTCTTCCTCGACGCGATCTGGTCCGGACCCTCCCCTTCCCCTTCCTTCCCCCGCCGCCCCTCCCCTCCCCTTTCCTCCCCTCCCCAACCCCCCTCTCTCTCCCCCGACGTGATCTAGTCGGGACTCTTCCCTCTCAGTTTTCCCTTCCCCCGCCGCCCTTCCCATTCCCCTTCCCTCTCATGCGATCTGGCCGGCAGCTGTGCATTATTTTTTTTTTTAGCTTTTTCCCTCCCTTCTTCCCCTCTCCCTCTTCCGCCACCCTCTTCCTCTCTGCTCTACGATCTGGTCGCCCGACCAGATCGCACATAGCAGGAAAGGGAGGGTGGCGGGGAAGGGAGAAGGGAAGACGAGAGAGGGCGAGGGTGATGGACAGAAAAATTTTTTTTGAGGTTACCGGCACCGGAATAGGTGACCGGCATAGGGAGAGGTGGTGTGGTGGTTGGGTGGGGGAGGAAGAAAAGTTTTTGAGAAATTTTTTGTGTATTTTTTAAGTGTGTAAGTAAAAAACTCTGAAAAGTTTTTTTGGGGTTCCTGTAACAAAAAATTGTTAAAAAACTAGTAGCTAAAAAACTTGGTAAAAAACTAGGGTGCCAAACAGGCCCAATGTCATATGCAAGCACGCAGTTTTATAACCTTTTCTTCCACTTTATTCCTTTCCCTGATCTAATGCATGCCAGGGAATCACATGTTTATTGTCTAATTATTCCTATCATTACTACTTTGTTTCTGCAAATATCAGAATACAGCTCAATTTGAAGGAGATTGTTGGTGGATGAGATCTACAATAATTACTTAATACGGGAGTTTATGCAAAACAGCATATTTAACAAATTCAAGACAAAGCTTCCAAGAAACTGCCAATATGTTCATGAGCCAATGTAGACCAATTGCATGTAATAGACATTTGTTCTGTTCCAAAAAAAATTTTTTTTTTGTTTGATGAAGGAGATAATGATTGTTTTTGGATAGAAGATTATTTGAAAAAATTTTTGCATTAATTATTTAAGCCAACTTTTGCTCTTTCAAAATGAGCAAGGTAAAACTCCTTGTTTGGATTGTGTTTTTTTGTAAAAAAATTTTTTACGTTTCCGTGAACATATTTTCTAATCATCTTTTTGCCTTATATATGTCAAATAATTATAGTATTTTTTTATATAAATTTCTAAAAATAACAATCCAAACAATATAGAACTCAAATAGTGGGTACCTAATAAGTATGAAAAATGAACTTGATGTATAATAATAATATTACATGTTCGAACAACTTTTCTAGTCAAAACCACAAATTTAACCAAAATGCACGGGTCAAAGTATATTTCCGAGTATAAAATGACATGTTTGAACAATGACTTGGGTTTTTGTTGTGTTTTATCTTTTTGAAAAGTAATAGCTTTGGCTATTAAATACTGGTTATGGGAGATAATCAAGAGATTGAATGATCAAAACTTTAGACAATATCTAGCTAGTCAACTATTGATTTAGTTTATTTGCTTGTATTATCAATATATTTTTCAATTATCTTTTTATTTTGCATACATTGCATCAAAAAATTACTATAGTATTTTTTCAAAAAAATAGTTAACTCAATTGCTTATTAATACCCGGTTTTCTATAGCAACAAAAGCCCTGTTTGGAATGTGAGTTTTTTGAGAGTTTGTCTAAAATTTTACTGTACCTTACTATAAAAGTTTTTTTAAAAATTTTTGAAATGTATAGATTTTTGAGTATTTTGAAGTGTATAGTTTAAAAATTTTAAAAATTTTTTTGAGATTACTGAAGCTAAAGTTTTTAAAAAACTTGTGACAGATAATCTTAGCAAAAAACTTGGGTTCCAAACAAGGCCATTATCGTAGTCTAAAAATTGTCATTGCCATTAAAACAAGGTTAACACTTACGATAATAGTAGTATTGTGTGTTCATTGCAAAATATAAGCAAAAAGTCGTCTTATTAATGAATTCCTAGATTTATTCGCCCTTCTTGTACGATTGTTATCAACCAAAAGCTCCAAGATTTACATTGACTTAATTAATGCAGGTTTTCTATGAAGTCAGAGGGGTGAATTTTACGCTTGTATTAAATTTTTAGACAGATAAGATTAATTAAGGAAAGTATATTACATGTAATGGAGTATGGTAATTATTAATATGTCTATATATTTATTTACACGATATATTAGATGAAATTTAAGTGTGTTAACGAGTGCATGCTCGACACTTGTAAAAAAAAAAAACGAACCCTTGTGTTAATAATCAGTTGCTCTCCTTGGTACTTCCCTCTTCCTTAATCCTTACTAAGGATGCATTTGGAAATGTCACCCACTTTATTGCATATGCAGCTCAACTTCTACTTCCAGATCTCAATTAGGAAAGTCGAATCTACATGTTAGGGCATGAACAGTTGCTATTGGTCAAGAAAATTGATGGTGTAAATTACACATACATCCAATACTTCAAAGCCCCAACCTCCCAAAAAAAAAAAAAAATAGCAATCCAACAATTAAATTGAAATCCAAAATTTAAATAGTATAAAATTTTCTTACAAGTAAAATTGAAACTTAAATGCCAACAATTACCTTCCCATTTTGCGTTATCCCCTACCCTTGATCCCTCCAAAGAATAAAAAAAATGAAAAACAAAAAGAAATCCATGGTTTGACTCTTGCTTGGTTAAATAATACTCCCTCCGTCCCACTTTAATAGTCCTGTTTTCCTTTTTTGTCTGTCCCAAATTGCAGTCCACTTTCCAATTGAAGAATGTAGTTGTATTTTCATTTTCCTAAAATACCCTTATTCAATACAAGTTGTTGTTGCTATAAACCTACCCCATTTAATGAGAGTTGATTCTTTTTTTACCATCAATTCAAGTTCCCATAAAGTTGTACTCTATTTAATGTGAGGGTATTTTAGAAAAATAGCAATCTAAATTTACTTTTCCAACAAAGTTAACTACTTTTTCTTAAACTGTGTGAAAAAAGAAACAGGACTATCAATGTGGGACGGAGGGAGTAGTAATGAATAGTGTGATGTTTTAACCCAATTTTAAAAGATGGATCCTCCAACGTTCACATACGGGTTTCCCACATCTTCAAATTCAAATTTCTGACCCATAATCGTAAATACCTCCTGATCCATGCCCTTTTTCGATACACCACGCCTCTCCTCAGTCGTCGTAAACCCTATTTAAGTCCCCTTTTCATCTCTCTCTCGTCTTTCATTCAAATTTCTATCCACTATCCCAAAACCCAGATTTTTGCCAGAATTAGGGTTTCGTCCAATTAAGTTACTCAAACGATGTCGTTGAGACCAGGCTCCAGAGCTGAACTCCGTCGCGGCCGCTACAAAGTGGCGGTGGACGCCGAAGAAGGCCGCCGGAGGAGGGAAGACAACATGGTCGAGATTCGAAAGAACCGCAGAGAAGAAAGCTTGCAGAAGAAGCGCCGCGAAGGCCTGCAAAATGCATTTGTTGTTCAATCGGATACCTCTTCTGTCGAAAAAAAGGTGTAAATAAATTAGAATTTCGATTTTGTTTCTTTGAAGTTGTTGCAGATGGTTTTAACTAGGGTTGTGATCGAATTCAAATTTGCGATTGTGTTGTTTATGGGCTGGATACCCGCAATATTTTTAGTTTTGTTGTGTTTGAATAGGGCTAGGGCTTGCATTTCAGCCTTTTTCGGCAACGGGAGATTTCGGAAAGCTTAAATAATTTAACCATCAGACCATAGTTCGAATTTTATAAAAAATAAACTTTGATGGAAATTTTGAAACTTGATGGGCTTGTTTGACTTCAACAAGTAGTTGTCATAGCTTTTTTGTTCGAATTTGTTGTGTTTAAAGCTTTTAATTGCATATGTTGATTACAGGTGTGAAGTTTTTTTTTTTTCGCTTCTATGCGTTTGATTAAGTTTTGTTACTTTGAACTTTTTTATATTGAATTGGAAAATATGTTGAGCATGTAACTCTAATGCTTGGAATGGTTATGGGTTTTGGTTGCAGCTAGAAAATCTACAAGCAATGGTTGCTGGTGTTTGGACAGATGATGGCAGTCTACAACTTGAGGCAACCACTCAATTCAGGAAATTGCTTTCCATAGGTTTGGATGCTTCTTTAGACTATTGCTATCATCATTTTTTGTTCCATATTTGATTCCTATGTTCCGGTGTTGATGTTAATGCTTATACCAGAACGAAGTCCGCCAATTCAGGAAGTGATTCAAGCTGGCGTTGTCCCTCGCTTTGTTCAGTTTCTTATGAGGGAGGATTTTCCCCAACTTCAGGTTCAAGATCGTTATTCCCCATTCTGTATACACAGTGAAGATTAGATTAGTTTGGTGTGACATATAAATATTTTCTTCCATCCTTTGCAAATTTGTAGTTTGAGGCAGCTTGGGCCCTCACAAACATTGCTTCTGGGACATCTGAGCACACTAAGGTTGTTATAGACCATGGGGCTGTTCCCATATTTGTACAGCTTCTTAGTTCTCCCAGCGATGATGTCCGCGAACAGGTATATCTTTTACAAATGATGAAATCTCCTCTTCTGGTGTTTGTAATCAAGTTCAATGCCTTGCATTATTTTATGGATTTTGAGTGTTGCATGATATAATTGAATTTTGTTGTTATTTATATTTTATTTCTTATTTTTCTTTGAACTACATTTAGGCTGTATGGGCTCTGGGAAATGTGGCTGGTGATTCCCCAAAATGCCGTGATCTTGTTCTTGGTCATGGAGCTCTGGGTCCTTTGCTGGCTCAGCTAAATGAGCATGCAAAGCTATCAATGTTGCGAAATGCCACCTGGACATTATCTAATTTCTGCAGAGGCAAGCCTCAGCCTTCATTTGATCAGGTAGTTCTTTCACCTTGAATGTTTGTTCATCTCACAGCTCTTTCAATTCTACATGATAACGTGCATGCTTAGCTCTTTCAAAGCTAATTTTGTCTGTAGTGGATGCAGAGTAGGCTGCATGTCCCCCATAAGAAATTGCTTTGACACTCCCCTTGTCCATGTTGCTACGTTCTTGTACTATGACACATTAAGGAGTTGTCACCTATTACAACTTATAAAGTTGATGAGATTATTACTACTGCCATTATTCCTACAAAATACCATCTTTTTTTAGAGGAAATAACCATGTCTTAGGTATAATGTACGTAAGGGCACGTATTTTGTGATACTAACAGCACAATTTGCAGACAAGACCAGCTCTTCCAGTTCTTCAGCAGCTTGTGCATTCAAGTGATGAAGAAGTTTTGACTGATGCGTGTTGGGCACTCTCCTATCTTTCTGATGGGACAAATGATAAAATCCAAGCTGTCATAGATTCTGGAGTATGCCCTCGATTGGTAGAGTTATTGCTGTGAGTATCTTGTGCTCGTATTGTAAGTTCCCTTTTGAATATGTTTTCTGTGTAAAAAATATAACATTTGGCATCTCAGGCATCCTTCTCCATCAGTGCTGGTCCCTGCTCTTCGAACAGTTGGAAACATTGTAACTGGAGATGATATGCAGACTCAGGTATCAACTAAAAGAATCTTAAGTACTTTCCTTTCTCTCTTATTACGTTTGCATAACGGTTTTTCTGCCTTTTGGGTTTTGGTCTCTGGTTTCTGGGGGATTGTGGGTTGCGGAGTATGTTGCGCATAATAGTTTTCTACTTTCAAATGAAGCTTACAGGGCAGGTCCATGCATGAAGCTCTGTTGCATAATCAATATTCACTAGTCAGAGTATCAATTAAGCTAGTCCTGTGTTCTCTTGGACCTGAATATTCACATATTTGGTTTAATGAGATGTCAAAAATTTAGCCATGCACTGAACTTATTCTTAAGGACATCATAAATCAGCGAAATTATCTCCTTTTCTTGGACTGAGCCATATTTTCTATTTTTTATACAATATCTGAATAATGATTCTGGTTGCTATGTTGTCATTGAGTGCTGCTATGCTTCTGCCTTTTTAACTGGCATAAGTGGCATTACCAATTAAGGCTTTTCAACTGTGATAATGATGTTTTCTAATTTAGTAGGTTGTGAACTGTTGTTGGTGTCAACTTGCATGCAATTGGCTAAAATATTTATTCATTACAATTTCCTTGCACATTTTCAGTGCATTCTTAATCATCAAGCACTAGGCCGCCTTCTGAACCTCTTGGCTGGTAATTATAAGAAGAGCATTAAGAAGGAAGCTTGCTGGACCATTTCTAACATTACTGCAGGCAACAGGGATCAAATACAGGTTAGCAGGCATTCATATATATATATATTGAACATCACGGGTCTGTTGATAGTACAATTCTTACAGGAGATTGAACGAATGTTTGTTTGCTTTTTTTTTTAATATGTGGATGCTATGTATCTTACATTTCTGTAGGCTGTTATTGAATCTGGTATCATGAGTCCGCTCATAGATTTGCTTCAGAATGGGGAGTTTGAAATTAAAAAGGAGGCTGCATGGGCCATCTCAAATGCTACCTCTGGTGGCAGTCATGAACAAATTAAGTACGCGTAGCTCTGGAATTTCTGTTTGCTGTTTTAGCTTGTGATTGTATATTTCCAGATATGGATTCATATTCATTTATGTTTTGCACCAGGTACCTTGTGAGTCAAGCATGTATCAAGCCTTTGTGTGACCTTCTTGTTTGTCCTGATCCAAGAATTGTCTCAGTATGTCTGGAGGGGCTTGAAAACATCTTGAAGGTTGGAGAAGCTGAGAAGAATTTGGGAATAACAGGAGATGTGAATCTCTATGCTCAAATGATTGATGATGCTGAAGGGTTGGAGAAAATTGAGAACCTTCAGAGTCATGACAACAATGACATTTATGAGAAGGCAGTGAAGATTCTTGAGACATACTGGCTAGAGGAAGATGATGACACAATGCCTCCTGGTGATGCATCTCAGCAGAGTTTCCAGCTTGGAGGGTCACAGATCTCAGTGCCTTCTGGGGGATTCAACTTCAACTGAAGGTTTCTGTCCCTCCCATGTTTAAAATGTTTTTGCATCTATTTGTTATACAGTTAAATACAAAGAGAAAAGTTATCGAGTTGATAGGATGTTGTGGTTCATAACTAAATGACGAACTTGTGACAATTTTATGTGTAGATGCCAGGAGTGTTCCTGCTCGTTTCTTGTCTGATAGTAGTTGCAGGAAGGTGCTGGGTATTTGGAACACCAAAAGTAGCTTCGGTCAGACAGCATAAGCGTTATTCCAAGAATTTTTTTGGAGATTGGGCTTCTAGCTAGGTACCCAAGCTCATTGCGTCAAGGTTGAATACCCTGAAAATTTTCTTCTCGGGCTTTCTTAATTTCTTCTCTTGTCCATTTTAGCGTGTGCTGGGTTATTTTGGCCCTCCCAAAACCTAGCTTGTACTTAACGGGGGTATTGTTTTTCCCTTGGTTTAGTGACACTGCTTCTCCCTATTCCAAGAGCTTCTAGTGTCATTATTTAACTTCCAAGAGCATTGATTTTTCTTCTTTTTTTTTGGAAGATGATTGAAAAGATGTGAATGCCAAAAGCGCTGAAATCTTTATTAGAAAATTCGTCTTGTATAATTGATCTCCAATTCTCTGTCATTGTGGCTACTGACTTCATTTACCCGGGACCCAGGAAAAGAAAAATCCAATCACGCTCATTCTGACCTGTGGAAGACATACTCCGGCCTGTTAGAGGGCAAACGGGACTGGTGATTTTTTGCTTATTGTTCTCACAGGATGAATAGAGCTTGGGTTCTTCACAGGTTGTTTTGTGAAGGATGAATTAGACAAGTTCTAGATGTTCTTCCGAGCTCCTCCTACATTAACCAATCTGTCATATAGGGCTGTTTCAGATGATCTTCTTCTATAACATTCATCGGACGACTGGATATTTAGCTCTGTTGTCGTTCATTGGCAAAAGCATAAAATGGGGTTCTTATGCCGACATGCCAAAAGCATAATTTGTTTGTCAACAAATTATTTGTAATTTTGTACGTATTGGCAGAAGGCATACTATTCTTCCTAACTTCTCCCACTAATTCTTGTCGCCCTTTTCCGACTGGCAAAACAGGAAGAATAAAAGGTGACTTCGAGTAGGTTGGGTTGTAAAATGTCCTCATGTTGTGTGTATACCCTCCAGGGTTTTGGGGGCATTTTGTCTCTCTGCAAATTCCAAATCCATGTATTGATTCATTGTGTATCATATCTTTCTTGCTTTTATTTTCTTTTATCCTGATTAGTTGAAGCATCCTTCCAACAATTTCTCTGAGAAAAGACTATGGCAACCGTGTAACGGGTACTTGTTACAAATATGTATGACTTACAAATATGTATGTATATTACCTTGTCATACATATTTGTATTACCAAATGTATGATTGCTCAGTCTTTATTTATTTATTTTTTTTGTCAACAGGAAGATTGTCCAGTTACGATCTCCCTCCAGTTTCTTATGGTGCAGGAAATGAGGGAAAGTGAGGGAAGGAGTTTATGTTGAGTTATTCATTTGGATTGTAGAGGCACAAGGTAAGTAGTGGTACTACTTAGGGTGCTCGGTGCATTTGATAAGATTGAAATTTAAAAATTGAAATATGAAATGTGTCACTAATTTTTTTTAGAGCAAGTTTTAATTAGGAAACTTAGTAGTGCTATTTACATAATTCAAATATTTTATTTTTTGTTATCAAATGCATTTAAATTCATTAAATTTAAGTGATGAATTGGATTATCAAACAGGTCTTAATCAAATTTTACAATACAATTATATCTCTACAAGATCAGGCCTATCTAAGTTTTTTTTTTTTTGCCTAGATTTGGTGGTTGAGACAGAAAAGAAACTAAAAAGTTTTAATAATTGATGAGCAAATTGCAGCTTAATTAATTTCATCATTTTTAGATTGTCTAGACGCCATAATTTACTCGGATTTGGCCTTTCCATGGCGAATGATGACGCTCACTGACACGGTTGAAAGTGGAAGGACGGACGTGGAAAGGCTTGTTTTAGAATTCTGACACGCTATAATGAGTCAATTACTCCACCAGACTACCTGAATCAATTCTAAAAAGCAACAACTAAGCTTTGGCTCCGTGGCTGCCAAAAAGGATTAATCTCTTTTAGATCATAAATTCGAACTTCACTTTCACTTGTATTGCAAAAAAAATTAAAAAAAAGTGTTAAAGTATTTTTTTGATTTAGTTACATTTGTATACTTACTAATTGCTTACATAAGTATTTTAGATTACTCCCCAGATATCTATAGAGTAGAATAGATTAAATTATAGAAATGATATCGTCGTGGCAAAACACAAATTTTCTACTATACGATCTTAAATAATTTGAGTGGTTATATACAACCCAAATTTTGAAGCTTCATGGAATACTCTTTACTAATAATAATGTATAAGTCAATAAAAATTGGGAATTAGAATACAATTAAATCCTAAATACTTATTTATTTTATAGATTTTATGTTTATGTTAACTGTTAGATATAATTGGAAAATACATATCTACTTTATTTGATCAAGGACTTTTTTAAGGGCGTTCCGTACACATTTAGACAATTTTTCAGATTAATTTTACAGGTTATTATTATTTTACCCCCTTAACGTTTGATGCTACTATCAATTTTTCCATTAACGTTATCTTTTAGTCACTTTACTCTCCCAAACTAACAACGTTATCTTTTGTGGACATATTTTTAATTACTTTTTGTTATATCACATATATCAAATCACTATAATATATTTTTCTACTAAAATTTTAAAAAAAAATAGCAATCTAAACGTACTCAAGTGACACTTCAATCAAGAAGAAGTGCATCGAGACTGGTGAGTTAAAAACTTTGACTAATTCATACACAAAATAAGTAGTCCATCCTTTTCCAATAAACAGGAGTAATAAAAAAATTATTCTGACACATACCAAGATAATTACTAAAAAATTAGTCACATAATAGGCACTTGTATTCCTCAGCCGTAGAATTGCTAAGTATCCCCCACTGGTGCATGCAAGCCGACACGTGGGTCACGCGCCCCACTTTGGCTCATTCCGACCAATTTTTTAACAATTCTTTGGCGGGCTACAGTGTAATCAAAATCTGATTTCAAGCCTATTTTCGTCATTTCACTCCAACCTCTAGGGTTTATCCGTCTGCGGTGGCCCGGTTCGACCAGCCAAGCACGTCGGTTCCCCACTATCTTTCCTTGTCGGTCTTTTATATTCCCCCCCTTCCGCCACTTACTCTTCCTCGACCTTTTCATTTTACTGCTACTTCTTTCATTCTTTCCAAGAAAATGAGATGATTTGATCATAAGCAACTCTGTTTTCTCAGGATTTTTCTGTTTGCTACCTTAAACTTGGCTACAAATACCTTAAGTTGCACATTTTTTATTTGGTTACATAACCTTAGAATTTGTGCAAAAGGGCATCATGGATCCAAACAAAAAGGTGGATTAATGGGATGAATTTCTTCATCGATCATTAACCATCTTGCATTTGTTTTGTTTATCCCTTTTCGCCATATTTTGACTGGTGATCTTGTCTTTCATTATTTAGGTAGAGGAAGAAATCTTGCCTCCTCAAGAAATGATCACAAGAACTGCGGACGAGAAATGCTGTGTTGATTGCAAGACTACCAAGACACCGTTATGGAGAAGTGGCCCTGCTGGACCTAAGGTAAAAGAATTGTTAAACTTTTTCAGTGATTATTTGTGGGTTTCTTGTTCTAGTAAACGGGTTGTTCTTAATTTTTCTCCTTTTCCTTTTGGGGGGGATATATGGTATAGTCACTATGCAATGCTTGTGGAATCAGACATAGAAAGAAAAGGTCAGCCACTGGCACAAGTCCGGCCACATCCACAGCCACAGTGGGTTTGGACAAGGAGGAAGAGAAGATCAAGAAAGAAAAACATGAAGAAACTATAGTGAAGAAGAAAAGAAGGGCTAATATTAGAGATGGGAAATGTGGTAAGCTAAGCGTGGGATGGAGGCAGAGATTTAGGGCTTTTGGTCAAGGGGTTGTGTTGTATCAGAGGCAGAGATCTCCAGTATTGAGGAAGCGGCAAAGTATCCATCATAGGAAGTTGGGAGAGGTTGAGCAGGCTGCTGTGCTTTTGATGGCTTTATCTTGTGGTTCTGTTTTTGCTTGATGTGGAAAGGCAAAATCTTGAGGAGTAAAAGGGGTTCAGAACATATTCTTACCCCAATTATACCTTTGTTCGTATGTTTGTTTGTTTGCCCTTTTTCTTCTTTTTTTTTTTTTTTTAATTTTTAGTTTGGACTTCAATTAGGACTTTGTCTATGATTAGGGCCTTTATTAGTGGATGGTTAAGAATGTTGGCCTTTACCAAGAAAGACTTACAATTCTTGGTCCTTTTTTGGCTGGTATTTGTACATAGTTAAAGGAAATGTACATATAATGATGTTTTGATGATGAAGAATTGAAGTTTCTTTATTGTCCATCCATAACCATAAAAGCTTCAATATGCCCTCTTTTTGTTTTTGGACGTTGTTGATGGTCATTGCCAAATCTTTCTACTTTTAACAGTCCAAAGGTTGTCATTAATTTCATTTGAACTGATTAACAATCCTGCTTTCTTCTGATTTTTAGTACTAGTACTTTTTTTTTTTCTAAGAAAATGTAATGTGTCTTTTAATTTTGCATCATATTAGAAAACCAAGTAATTTGTTCTGATCTTTTTTTTTTCCCGACAACGATAATAATTGTATAACCTATTTTATCTTAATCTACAGCGAGGAGGAATTTAAGAAGGATTGTGTATCAGGGATTAGTATGTATACAGCGAGGAGGAGCCTGAGAAGGATTGTGTATCAGGATTAGTATGTATATAGATTTGACTAGATCAAAGAGGTGTTATAACACCTTCATTGGAAATTGTTTTGCTGCGAACTCCCCTCTACACCCCTCCTTGGTGGCCAGTAATTTGTTCTGATCAATTACATTGCCATTGCCAACATAAATCCGGGGACAGGAAAGTTGCTTTACAGTGAGAGCTTTAGTTCATTATTTATTCCATGCGCCTACTAGCCATAGGAGACGTGCATGTTTCGAATTGGAGCTATATATAATCTCAGTGAGCATTTTGCTTAGAAAACATTAATGATCTTCAAATGTCTTTTCTTGATACTTTAACCTTGATTGCTAAAGAAACACGTGTGGTGTAATGGTACAAATGAACTAATTAAGTCAATGTCATTTGCTGAAGCTTGCAAAAGATCTTCCTTAGTTATGAATCATTGACACTATCTGTTAGGTGTTATACACTATTATCATACAGATCAACATGGCTTAACTACATTTTTTGGATTAGAAAGTGGGACTTGATCCTAGGCCTCCTGATTGATTTAAGCAAATTTCAAACCTTACAAGCGAAAAGGATAATAGTGGGGGGTTTAGGCTTCGTTTTAGACTTCGAGGATTCAGGCAGAAAAAGAAAGGGAAAGAAACGTGGGGATCTATTTGGATTCTTCCGATTTTCAAATAAAACATTCCAAAAAATTACTTCAAATAGACAATATCAAATACAACTAACAAAATAACAAAAAAAAGTTTTTAAATATAACAAAATCTAGTGCCTCTTTCTTCTTCCACCCATCATTGCTGATAGCCATCACCCCTTCCTTCCTTCCTACTCTATTGTCATCACTGCCCTTCTCCTATTTCTCATCCTCGTTGCTTTTCCTCTTCTTCCCTTTCCCTCCTTTTTTCTCCTTCCCTCCTTTTTTTCCCTTCCCTCATATCCCTTCTCTCCTCCCTCTTCCTTTGATCGTGTCACAACTAGAAGGAGAGAGAGGAGATGAAGAGGAAGAGAATAAGAGGGAAGAGAGACGGTTGTATACGATGAAATATTCAACAATTTTTTAAAAGTATTTCAATAAAATTTAAAACTTAAAAAAAATCTCAAAATACATCAATAGTGACAAATTTTTTTTGACATACAATGCTACAGTATCGTTGAAAAACACTCTGAAAAATATCTAATCTACACGAACCTACAAACTTTGGCTTGTTTGGAAGTTTTTTCGGAATAGAAAAGAAAAGAAACCGGCTGATTTGGACTAATAGTGTAGATGCTTCAGTTTGAAAATGTTTTCTGCCCAATCTAGGTGAAAAAAGGACGAAAAGTTGGCTGGAACTTTTATACAAACCTTTTGAATGTCAATTTTTATCTTTATATGTCTAGAACACATTTTTATCTATGTATACATCCAAAATCAATCCATTTCCTTCCTACACTTTTGAATAATATCAAAATCTCTTTCCTTCTCTTCTCTTCTTTTTGTTTCTTTCACAAATTAAAGTTTTTGTTCTTTTCTTTTCGATACAAAACTCTCAAACGAAGCCTTGGAGCTGAAAGGAGAATGGGAAGAGCGTGGAATTTAAGAACCCACTTGGACTGCTATTTTAGGAGTTTTAATAGGGAAAAAAATACATATATATATATATATGTATGTATGTAAGATAAAAAAATGATTGAAAAATATATTTAGTGAAAACTTTTTGTAAAAATTTTTCTGTAAAAAATAGCAATTCAAGAGAGGCCATAATTTTTCTTTGGATGATAGCTTCAGATGCCAATTTCCAAAGCCCAGGGCAGAAATTTTTTGACAAATATCCGGACCTAGCTTGTCGAGCTGGATCATGGGCTTGGACCCTTGGTTGTCCTTCGTTTTTCTTGGGCAGAATCAGAGTTAACCTTCTATTTTGGGCTTCGGTGCGTGACTTTGAGTCAAATAATATGGGTGGAGATGATATTTGGGCCACAGGAGTAACGGGACAAAAAAAGACTCGCCAACTATGATCAGTCCTTTTCTCAGAGCTGAACCAAGTTGATGCTATTTAATTAAAATGAGCCTTTAAATAAGAAAAAGAATTCATCAAACAAAAAATTACAAAGTTAAAGTAATTAAGAAGACATTTGCTTGGTCAGTTTAGCCGTAGTCCACACTGACAATGTCAAAAGTCTTTTTAACACTAGAAACGGGCTCAAAAAAAAAAAAAAAACAGAGTTTAAGTAATAATTATAATACGTATGTATATCAATTACTGGGGTCGGCCTAATTGCCTCTCCACTAGGTTCAGGGTTCGAATTCTATATTTGACAATTAGGGGTGAAAAACATGTGAGGAGGGGTGGGAGAGTGAAAAAAAGAAAAAGAAAAAGAAAGAATTAACAAAAAGTATATCTATTATAGTCTAAATTATTTGTGTTTCATTGTTGTGAGGTGGAAAGGATGTGGGGAGCGAGGAGATTTAAGAAAAAGAATTTTAAAAAGTAGATATATTATATTCACTCCGACCTAATTATTTTGTCATGTTTAGGAAATTCAACCTTTTTAAAAATAGTAATTCGATTGGGATGTTTGTGCTTCTATTTCTAATTTTACCGTCATAATTTTAAAAGTTTAATTTAAATAGTTACACGTATATGATTAAAGGGCGGGATTATATTAGAAGGAGAGAGAGTAAAAGCTACATTGATCTTCTCAAGATGACAAATAATTTAAAATGCTTCAAAATAGAAAGTATGATACTTTTAATGAAACGAGGAAACGAGAAGAGAAGAGGGGGAGTACTCTAAATCCTTCGTGTCCCCTGGTTGTGTGGTGTCTACATCATGCGGTAGGTGAAGACTCTTCAATTATGAGTGCTAAGAATGACTACAATTTTTGTCTTGTGGTCATTCGTGTCGGTGTGAAATAAGTTTTACCCAACTTTAAAGTCTTGACATCTTTAAAAAAGAAAAGAAAAGAAAAGAAAAGAAAGGTCTTAGGCTCATCGTCTGGAAAACCTGAAATAGACAGTTCTTGATTTGGATTTCTTAACATACGATGATTATAGAAGTGAAGAAGGAAGTGGTTGAAGTTTGGACTTTGGAGTTTCCCGTAGCATCCCTCCAATCGTCCTTGTCAACAATTAAACAATAAGGTCTTGCCTAATATTAATGCTATTATTCATCTGCCACGTGAAGCATAAAATTTCTACATAACCTTCCCCTTTGAACTTTGAAGTGGGCGATTGGTATGTTTGTGGACATGATAAGTGATTGGTATGTTGTGAATTTAGAAGTGTCAAGTGTGAAAGGCTTAGCCCTAAAGCAATTTAGCTAGTTCTATAATCCCTAGGTGTTCGGATTTAGATTTTTGAGAGTTTTTGTAAAAAAATATACTACTATAACGATATGATGTATATGAAATAAAAAAAATTTGTATACAAAAGTTAGCAATCCAAACCTGCGAGTATTCCTTTTCTAGTACCTTCAGCTCTGAAGTATACGCACAGAACACACACACACACACATATATATATAACCACTTTACTCCAAAATATATAAATGCAGCAGAAAATCAAAGGTGATGTGAGTAACATACAATAATGATTTTCATAAAAAAAGAAGAAAAAAGTACAATGCTTAAATTGACTTTAACAAAAAGAAAGGAAAAGTATTATCGTACGATTAGTTAGCCAAGATTTTTTGTATTATTATTTTTTCTTCTATCTCTGAAAGTTGTACATAGTTTGCCTTGCCCAATTAACCAATCGACCTCATCGCTTTGAAATTTTCTTGGGATTAATCCATTGCTTAAGGACGAAGACATCAAAGAGACGTTGGAAATGGTCTGAGAATTTAGATGTTAATTGCCATCGGATATTATTAAATCCCTTACGTCAAACTCCACGGATCCATGATGCTTAGTACCATATTTTTTTTTCTTTCTCGGTGGGTAAAAGTTGTTAAAGATTGTTAGAAGAACGTTTCCTCGTAGCAAAAGCATCCATCACTCACCTTAATGCTTCCATGCCAAAATATGTATTATAACATTATATACCATTTTATGCACTAATGACTTTGATAATAATAAATTCGAGATTAGGATGAAACAAATTGAAATGGAATTTTTGTTCTTGGGATTTTTTTTTTTTTTAAAAAAAAGATCATTGGGCGTGTAGAACTGAGAAGAATGCATAAACAAAAATTTGAAGAGTAGGGAAAAAAGGGGAAAATTAAAAAGAAAAAAAATAAATTATGAAATCCCTAAATTTTTTATGTGAAAAATAAAAGAAAGAAAGTTGATATGTGTTGATATATGCTGCTATTTTATGTTTTATGTCCACTGAGTTTGGTGACTAGTAATTTGGTGTGTCTTTTGATTAGTTTAAGGGTAAATTCCCTTTTGACCCCCTAAACTATACCCTATTTTCCCATTTCAATCCCTAAACTTCTAAATGGGACACTTAAGTTCCCAAACTACTGAATCCATTCCAATTAAGTAAAATCGTTGACGGATTTCACAAAATCACCAAGGTTTTTCGAGCGTGCAAAGCAAGCGCCGTTAGTGAGACTAGATAAGCCATGAAAACTGAAATAGCCAGGACATAATTGTAATTTCGTCGTTAGCTTTAAGGGAAAAAGAAAATAGAGGGAAACAGCTTTGTTCAAATCCACAGTGAAGACGACAGAAACAAAGCTATTTGCGAGGCTATCCCCCTGTTTTCTATCCAAAACTTACGCACAATCGTCCACTCTAGTTATACCTTCCGCTCCTTCACTCTGTTTTCCCTTTAGCTCTGAAACCCCATTCTCCTCCAAATGTTGATAATCTTTGGAGATATTCAAAGTTATGTCAAAATTCCTCATCAATGAAATCCGATACTCTGCATTTCACAAAGTATACCTGAATAGTTTGGACCCGCCAATTTGAATTAACATTTCGCCACCCAATGGAATCACTAAGCAGTCCAAAGTTCAGCTTTGGAAACAAAAAGTATTTATAATCAATTAGAGAGCGAAGATTAAAGCAATTACCCACTAATTATGGAGGAAACAATAAGGCGGTCGAGAGGGCATTTGGGAAACCAGATGGTGACGGAAAATTGATCGGATGGGAGCAGGCCCAACATAGCAGAAATGGTCTACTTCTTCGAGTCCTTAGCAGAGTTGAATACACCTTTGGAGATGACGGAGGTGTCGAGTGGCTCAATTCGCTTGAGCATGTTAGCGATAATGGAGAATTCGCGGCTGAATCCAGACTTCCTAGTGGAGACGAAATCGTCAGAGACTCCACCACCGTCCACTCCGGAAATTAGGCAGCTGACGGCGGATGAGGAAGTCGACGAGAATCCACTACGTTTACCGGGGAGGATGGACGGAAGCCACGGTCGGATGAAGAGGTGGAGGTCGGCAGAACGAGAGGGTGGCGGTTGAGGAGGGGATTGAAGCCGTTGAAGAAGTTGTTGTTGGTGGTGGTGGTGAAAAGGCCTGAGAGAGAGGTGGGTGGCCGGATAGACGAAGAAAGCCCTAGCTGTTGAGGCCGCCATACAAGAATTTCCAAGAGAAGCAGCTGGAGATATATAATAAAAAAGGTCCTTTGAGGTATTATCTCATAGCTGTTTCTGCAATTGTAAAAAAATTGTGTGGCGTCCGGTGGCGGAGAACTCCCACTTACGCAGCTATCTCTGTTTTTTAGATTCTCTTAGCCCCTCACGGATGGATCGGGATTTCTCATTTTCTCTCTGCCCACCAAATTTTAGTTTGGGGATTTGTTTGCTTTTTGTACTGGGTCAATTGAGTGCCACTGGTGAAGACGACAGAAACAAAGAAACAAAACTGTTTCCCTCTATTTTCTTTTCCCCTTAGAGCTAACAGGCGAAATTACAATTATGTCCTGGCTATTTCAGTTTTCATGGCTTATCTAGTCTCACTAACGGTGCTTGCTTTGCACGCTCGGAAAACCTTGGTGATTCTGTGAAATCCGTCAACGATTTTACTTAATTGGGATGGATTCAGTAGTTTGGGGACTTAAGTGTCCCATTTAGAAGTTTAGGGATTGAAGTGAAAAACAGGGTATAGTTTAGGGGGTCAAAAGGGAATTTACCCTTAGTTTAATATTGAGTTGAAGACTTCTTCAAATGCGCATTGCGCTGTGCTTTCCCTTTCAAATCTGCCCTCATCCTTCTCAAAGAATAGAAGAATAATGCACTCTTCCAAGTTTCTCTTGAAATTAGAATACATTGGATCCTGTAAACATTGGATGGTGCAAGAAAATTATATAACATGCAATTCCATCATCTGATATAAATATGCAACTTGTTAGGTCCAAAAAAGAATAAATCTAGTTTGAGAAGAATTGAAAGATGTAGAGGTGGGAAAAAAACTTAACTCATTTCCTGAAAAAATAGCTAATAATAATTAAGAAATCAAAATACCGAAATGTATAAAACTTATGGGGTCATAATTTTGGCTTGCTGAATTACTTGACTAGACAAAAAAAATTATGGGTAATGAATTCCTGACATCTAGAAGAAAAATCCAACTTAAAGAATTAAATGGAGAAAAGAGGCACTTTATTCTGAAAATGTACTAGCATATTTACTTGGATTGATATCATCATATGAATTAAATATAGGTGATATTTAGATAAGCTCCCTCCAACCAGCTATTACTTTGGTCGAAAATTCTAAATATTGTGGATTACATGAATTTTGTGGATTAGAAATCCATTCAATTAATCTCACAATTGTTAAGAAATTTCGAATTTATGACGGAAAATTTAATGTCAATCTGGATCAACTTATGACAAAATGGTTTTAAGGCTGCTAAGATTTGCAGATGACATTTAAGTCAACTTAAATACTCTATTAAAGAACTTGTTTAATGTTAAGGCATTTTGAAATAGAATTCAGTTTATTAATATATATATATATCCATCCATTTGTGATCAATTAAAAAATGTCTGTTGGGATGGACACATCATAAAAAATAACGGTTAGTTTTGGCATTCCACATTTCCACTATTTCTCACCTTCTCAGTGGGGCGAGAAATTGTCAAGAATTTAAAAGGTAAAGACTCAGATAAAGTCAATTCATCCCCTAGTAAGGACTCCACCACTCCACATATGTCTGTGTACTAGTAGTATCTGCTTTTGTTGAGTTATATATGATCGATCACCTTAGAAAGATTGAAAATTGGATCAAGAAGAAAAGAACGTTGAGAAGCAAGCAGTCTCTAATTTGTAGCTTGTGTTCTTTTTTTTTTTTTTTTTTTGAAGATTGATTGATTTCTTGAAACATTTTCTGTTTCTGATATAGGTCTAGAAGAAATAGACACCAAGATTTTCTGATAAAAGAAAATGTTGGCAATCGTCAAGGTTGCCAATTTAGTGACCATTTCAATCGGGATCATCCTATTTTGTCCATCTTTTCAATCATCTCCTCCTGCAGAAGCCATAAGATCAACCTCATTTTCAATCATTTCCCAGAAAAATTCAGTTCCCCACCTGCAGTTTTCCTACAGGAAGTCGGTGCCATTCAACAACGGAGAAAACAACAAATGCTTGTCTTCCACTTTCAGCAGCAATTCTTTGATGATGATCAATCATGGCCATCATCCAATGCAACTGGCAGTATGCAATCCTTCTCTTATTCATTTAGTAATGACTCTTGATACTCAATTCCTCCGTGGCACTGTTGCTGCTGTTAATTCCATTCTGCAGAATGCTTTCTGCCCACAAAACATTTTTTTCCATTTCGTACATTCGGATTCTGATCATCATCTTCAAACCCTTATTAGAGATATTTTTCCATCCTTGAATTTCAAGGCATACTATTTTAACCCTGAAACGGTACAGAACAAGATATCATCCACTATAAGAGAAACTCTTGAACAGCCACTGAATTATGCAAGAAATTACTTGGCTCATCTTCTTGAGCCTTGTGTGGAAAGAGTCATATATCTTGACTCTGATGTAGTTTTGGTTGATGATATATCAAAACTATGGAGGACAAGTCTTGGACCAGCAACTTTGGGATCACCTGAATATTGCCATGCAAACTTCACCAAGTATTTCACTCCCAACTTCTGGTCACAGAAGAAATTCTCCAGAGTCTTCTCTGGCCGGAAACCGTGTTACTTCAATACAGGTGAAATGTCAAGTTTTGTTACTTTTTTCTTTATTCTGTTTACTTTATCTTTAAGCCTGTTAAGACAAAGACACCTGAGGTGCAGACTTTAATGCATGTCGTTATTGTTCCAAGTTTTCTCCTTTGCTTAAGTGCAGGTATTTATGGTGGATAAATAAAACAGTAGTGTCTCTTTAATTTTTTTTTCCCCCATTTTTCTTCTAATTCTGTCTTGAGTTGGTAGTGTACTATAAGTTTCATTCACAATGCACCACCATATATGCTATTGGGGTATTTTCCACAGTTATCCCTTATTTTTTTATCGTAATTCTACATCAGTCTTGGGTGGACACTGTCAATGTAGAAGAACTCTGCAAAGACTCTAGAGGACTTGCATAAAATATTCTTTTAGGACTTGCTTCTAAGTTTAAAACAGTTACCTGAACATATGGCATTGTTGTTAAAAAGGGGAGGCTCTGAAAGTTGACTACGTGCTAATTTGAGCTGCTGATGACTTTTTCTCAGGTGTAATGGTGATTGACTTGGTCAAGTGGAGAAAGTTTAAATACACAAAGATGATTGAAAGATGGATGGAGATTCAAAGAAATCAGAGAATCTATGATCTTGGATCATTGCCTCCATTTCTTTTGGTATTTGCAGGAGAAATGGCACCAATCGACCACAGATGGAATCAGCATGGCCTTGGTGGTGATAATCTGAGTGGTAATTGTAGGCAACTGCATCCTGGTCCGGTTAGCCTGTTGCATTGGAGTGGAAAAGGCAAGCCCTGGATCAGGCTGGACTCTGGCAAGCCTTGCCCACTTGACATAATCTGGTCTCAGTATGACTTGTATGGCCAATCATTGTAACCAGTAACTCAAATACCATACATTTGTACTTTCAGCTCAATTTTCTTCCTACAGCAGGTTCTTCAATGTGAATTTCTTATTGTATCTTGAGCTTGTCTATCTCATCTAAAAATGTTGGATTTCATCTAACGCGAGTGAGAAGTTGAGGAAAATTTCTTAAAGGCAGGAAAGGAATAAGATGTCATTCTTCATTCAGGCAAGACAAGTTCCAAAGTTATTGCCTTTAGACATTCCAGTTACAGAAATGATTTTTCCCACCAAGTAATTTGCCTTGCATTTATTCTTAGTACTGCATATTTTCTCTCTGTTTTGCTAGGATTGGGTTGTTGAAAAGTTCCCAGCTAATGCCTCAGATACATTGGCAAAAAGTTTAAAAAGTATTTAATTACTGCAGTTAAGGTCAAGAAGTACAACCATGTTTGCATGCACTGCCTGCATCAGAGAGACAGATAAAGAGTTACCTAAGCATTTGACCATTGTGACAATCTCTTTTGACTAGTTAACAGGAAATTCGGTTAAAAACTGAAGTCAAAACCACTTGTTTCCTTTTTTTTTTAACTGGCTTTGGTTTCATGCAGATGAATGTTATCAGGAAGTGTTGGTAATGCATGTCATGACCCCGCTGGGTGATAAAATGTTACTTTATTTACACACCCGGTGTTTCAACCTTACTACTAGCTACTAAGTTACCCTCCCCCCCGTCCCCCCAACCAAGTCCACTGTCCATCTGCCCTTGTGTCTTCGTCTGGCTCCAATTCAATTGCAAATTAGCTGATTAATCATCAAGTTTGCCGCTTTAGTATGAAGCTAATAGATCATCCTATTTTTCAGACATCACATAAAGAAATCAGCTGTACTTTGAACAATTTTGCTACAATAAACCGCTGCTATTCAAGAATATACAAGAAACCAATGAATGTTCGTCTGCAACTTTGTTCAGCAGCAAACCCTTAGACACAAATCGTCCAACTCAAGTAGCATGAAATCCCTCTCTTGTTCATATAGCCTCTCTTGTTCATCTATTCTGATACAAATCCTCTTCTTCAGTCTCCTCTTAAATGGATTTTGCCATCACTGAAGTACAAGGCACACTACTTCAGTCCTGATATTGTAAAGGACAAGATGTCCCCCTCTGTGAAAAAAAAAAACATGAACAGCCACTTAATTATGCAAGAAATTACTTGGTTTACCTTCTTGAGCTTTGTCTGGAAAGAGTAATCTACCTCGATTCTGATGTTATCTTGGTCAACGATATCTCAAAACTTTGGAGGATAAATCTGGCCTCAGCAACCGTGGGATCACCAGAATATTGCCATGTAAACTTAGCTCAAATTTTCACTGCCAACTTCTGGTCACAGACGAAATTCTCCTGAGTCTTCTCCGGCAGGAACCCGTGTTATTTCAACAAAGATGAAGTGCTATATGCGTGCTGTAGTTTGTACAAGTTTGCTTAAATGCATGCCTACTATTGACACCATGCAGAAGTACTACAAGGGTCACAAAATTGGGAAAATTATCTATCTAGATGGCCTTACCCGTGCCTTTCCTTCTAAGATGCGCATATATGGTCTTGTATTAGTTACTTCTGTAGACGTCCCGTGGCAATTCTTTATCTACCTTACATTGGTATTGTGCAGACAAGCCTAAGATGAACCTCTTATAGAAAAATGCAATGCCACATTATTGTCGAGGTCCTAATTCAACTTTAGCTGCTCATCCATTCGGGTGTTACGGAGATTGAAGTGGCTAAATGGACTAAGTTTCGACACACTCATATGATTGAAGAATGAATGAAAGTTCAGAGAGAATAGAGGATCTATGGCCTTAGAGCCTTGCCTCCATTTCTTTTGGTATTTGCTGGAGACATTCCCCCAATCAACCGCAGATGGAATGAGGTTGGCTTTGGTGGTGACAACTGACAATCTCAATGGTAATTGTATGCAAGTATCCCCGAGTCCATTTAGCTTGCTGCATTGTCATGGAAAAGAAAAGGCCTGGCTCAGCTTGGACTCTGGCAGTCCTTCCTTGCTCCATTGATATATAATCTGGTCTCAGTATGACTTGTACGTTCCTGCAAGGCCATTTAGAGATGCATATCTTTTCTCTCAGTTGCATCTCTAGTTATCGGAATTACTAAGTTATTGGCTCTCTAGTCTTTGAAACATGCCAAAACACCTTCAGATAATTGTTCACGAAAGTAAGCATATGGAAACCTAATTTCTGCATTGGTTCAACCACCTCAAAGGTTAAACAGTCAATACCACTTCACGTCAGTTGATACTTGAGGCTACTGTTTTTCCTAGTCTGCTAAAGATTTGGCTAATGATCAGCTCAAGATTTCATAAAACAAGCGGTAACCTAGAAATCCCTTTTTTTTTGGCTTCCTCCTTATGGGCAGTGAACTTAAAACAAGTTCAAATTGTGAAAGCAGTGAAGAAAATCTATTTAACTTCACAAACTAGAGAAACATTCACAAAGGGCCTGAAAATCCTAAGCCACTTCATCTGACTCGGATGATTCTTCAGAATAGGGGCTCAAAGTCCTGACCATATTAGACAGTGCCTCTCCAGCATCTACCAATTCCTCCTTGCCAAAACCCCAACTTCTAAGAAGTTCGGCTCCGAGCGCTCCTCGCTGAATGCCAAACCTTTGAAGATTGTGCAATCTACTTTCCAGAAATGGCAAAATAGCGCTGCTGGAACGTAATCTTGCTGCCATGGGAATGGAATGGACATCAAGGGATCCCCTTGATGGAGAACCTAAAATTGGGGTTCCCAACAGCTCGCCATGTTGACCAACAAGGTTTCCAAAGATTGAGGGAAAAGGCAGAGGAATGGGAAGAGGGCATCGAGACACAGACAACTGTGAGAATCTGGGTCTTTGCAGTGCCTTTTCATAAGCATTCTGAACAGCACTTTTCACCTCAGAAACTGTGGCTTCGTGCAGTCCTAAAAAGAAAAGAAACAAAAATAAAGATAAAAATTAAACAAACTGACTCTGTAACTCTCTCTCCCACGAAGCAGATTAAGCATCAAACCACAAAGCAGCTATTAACTACTTGTGAAGGAGTCCAAGTAGAATATGCTTTCATCTTGGTAGTCTAAACATTCTTGCTAATGCAGTTCGTGGCCTCAAATATGTGGAAACTTCATGATATACTGGCTAGTTTCCTTGCAACAATTTGTCCATTCAAGCATAAATTAAATTATTTTATGGTCACACTAAGGGTAGGTAGGCCTTCTAAGCAACTCTGGAATCCCATGAGTAACAAAGCTCAACCGGACCTTCATTCATTGGCTTCGCAAAGGCTTACAAACTCCAATATAAACCTCTGCATATTATAACCAAATTGGAAAATTAAATAGTTTTGATAATGGGTTAAAATCTGAATCATCTGATTAGATAATTTCTTCTTTTTTTTTTTTCCTTTTTTCATCTAAATAGACAATTAAGATCAATGATTAGCTGCAAATTTCCAACTAGTTCCAGATACATGTGTTTTGCGTACAAATAAAGGTGGGGAAAAGGAAGATGATCCTCAGGATGACAAGAAGTTATCGGCTTATAGCAATGGAGAAACAGCTAAAGAAACCTGCATCTTATTTAGAGATCTTGGAAATCTCTACATTTCATCAAATAAAATTGGAGGGCATAATTTTTATACTACGTGCTGGACATGTTTAAGAATTTTTCTTTATTTGCTTGTAATCTTGTATATAGCTTCATGATTTACTGATTCTTGTCACATTGAAATGGTGTGGATAAGTGTGCTGTTGAGTAGTCCATAGTCCAAACATCCTCTTAGGAAACCAGACAGGAAAGAGAAATTATTGCACAGCTTTCAAATATCAGTATAGTCTAGCACAATATGGACAAACTTAAGGCAAGGTAGACTAATTCACATATGTTTGTTTGACAAGACGGAGATAAATAAGTTAAAGCACACCAGCCAAATACCTGTCCCAAGTACTCCATGAACTGACATGGCCTCCACTGCTTGCAAGTCCTCAAAATTTTCAGCTATCTCAGGCGTCAAAGGTTCCAAATTTTCAAGCAAGGATTGCTCAAGTTGGTTCCCTATGCATAAGAATTAAACTTAAAAAGCTAAAGAAATTAACAACTAAGAAAAGTCAAATTTCAACAGGCAGAACAACATACCAATCAAAGAAGGTGCTGGCATAGCGACATCCAAAATAGTGACCATATTCTGTCTTGCTTGTCCAGCTAACATATGTATGATCTCGTTCATATCCAGTGCACCAGATGCACAGGTCAGATCTGTAGTGGGCCCAATAGGTTCCATTCGAAAAGGGAGGCTGATGGAGTGCATGCCAGAGGCATAAACTGCACTGGAATGGTAAGGCTTCTCATCGTCCATGCAAAGATACCTGGAAGCTTTACCTTCACAGTTTTCCAGGCAGAAGAGTCAATGCAAGTTTTCTAGAATTTGACTAACCAACTGGGCAGCCGTTAACATAAGCAGAGTACATATAAAGTTCTGCAGACATTCATGTCATTATTCAAGTAGAAGAGCTAGAACCATAAAAAAAAGACTGCGCTGATTTTTAGTTCTTAAATAAGCTCCAATGAGCTCAAGAGGATCATCTGGTATTCCACAAAATGTATATGAATGAGGAGACAAGTATAAGAGAACAGGTCACATAAGTAAAACTCTTTTATGGAATGAGGACTGCTTACTTTTACTCAGGGAGGGTAGTCCAACAGGGACGATCAGTTTACAGAAGGTTGATAATCTTGAAAATGAAATTGCATCATGAAGACTACTAGAGATTGACTGCTTCTGACTTTTGGTGGTCATGTGCAAGCGAGGATTGCGGGCTGAATATAGTAATACAGGGATGTTGGTGTAATCATCTGCAATGTTCTCCAGAAACTCTGCAGCTACACCAGAAAACCCTCCAGAGTCATCAACAACAAATTGGATTCCCTATTCAGAAGGGTATGGAAGATCGAAGTAAGACATTCTGCCAATAAAGGAAGAAAATGCACAAGCATGATAGCAAGATATGTGAGATCCATGTCAAGGATCTTTGCCCCTGAAAGTGCAGATATTTAAATGATAACCGACTGTGATTGTCAAGGTTGCAGCATAATTTTAAGGCTCAAAGCATGCGCCAAAGTGCCAAATTTAAAGCTTACAATCAGACTCAATTTGCAACTTTTAAGTCTTAAAGAGAAACA